CCTGACCAAAGGGTGACTTAGCAGCTACATTTGTACAACATTCTAAATTTGGTTAATGCTATTGCTGGATTTTTGTTTTATTTTATAGGTAACAGTTTAGTTGTTCTGTGAACTTGGCATATCTGGTTAGGGTATTGTGAATCTAAAAAAATGGATTAATTTCGTGACCGGGTTAAGGGTTATTAAAATTTATTTTTATCCCACCTTTATTACTTGCATAAATAACTCGAGGCGGTAAACATACCCAATACTTCTTCTTCCTCCTATTTTCCCCGCAACAACCCTATGAGGTGAGTTGTTCTGAAAGACAGTGACTGGCCCAAAATCACTCCGCCCAGCTTTCAGGCCTAAGGGTTTGTAGCCTGGTACCTTAACCATAGACCAAACTGACTTTCTTTGTTGTTTGAATGCAGCCATTATGTCTGAATTTCTTTTGTCTGCGGTACATGCAACATGCAACTTTTTAGATCTTCTTCTGAAATCCCTTCCTCTAGACCTTGACTTATGGCCACAATTGAGATCTGAATTTTCACTGCTAAATGATGCAGTGTTAAAGTGCAATGTCACGTAGTCACATCACTTAGTGACAACAATCCTGGCACTCCCTGTTGCCATTGTTAACCCAGTTCCACCAGTAATTAGGCAAGGACCCACCCCAATCCAAGCCATTTCCATTTCTCTCAGCTCTGAGCACCAGAAAGATAAGGGACTGCTTACTCTTGAACTCCCCCAAACTGCCTATTCTCTCTCCCCCCCCCCCCGTTATCTCTTCCTCCATGGCTCTGGAGCTGCTCGCCATGCTGAGGATCAGGAACATCTTGGGGTGCTGCCAATCTGGAGCTACAAAAAGCCCTTGAGTTGCAGCACAGTGCAAAACCGTAGTCACCCCAAGAAAACCCAGCTGTCCTAGCAGCGGGGTGCCCAATTACAGTCACTCTGGGAAGTCTCAACCTACCCCAGCAGCTCGATACAAAGCTGCAGCTGGCCCAAGAAACCCCACCCCACCAATGTGGCGCAAAAGCCCAACCTTCCCCAGCAGTATGGCACAAAATGCAGCAGTTGTGGAAAGCTCCAACCACCTCAACAGCACGGAGCAAAGCTGCAGCCTCCCCAGGAAGCCCCAGCCACCCCCAGCAGCGTGGCACAAAGTCGCACTCACCTCCAGAAGCCTCAGCTGCCCCAGTCCAGTCCCAGTCATCCTCACCACCCTGACTCTGCCACCCGAGCTGAACTTTGCTGTCTTATTGCTCCTCCTGCTGACAGGCGCGCCTACCCTGGGCCTTTGCAAAGCAGCTGCTGGTCCTGTGAGGTCATCTTCATGGGGAAGAAAGCCTCATGTGGCCAGCAGCTGCCTCACAAAGGCATGCTTGGTCAGCAGCAGAAGCAAGAAGATGGCAAATTTCAGCTAGGCTAGAAGGGGCCAAAGAATGCAGGGACCAAAACAATGGGGGGAGATAGGTGACTGGGGGGATTTGAAGTGCCTCTGTGGTTGTAAATGCAGGTGGGCTGCCAAGCACCTGAATTTTTATGAGTGTAGATGCTGCAGTGGCCCTCAGTTTAGGAATCAGTTGTAAGTCCCTTCATTTAGCACCACCGCAACTTTGAATGGTTGCTGAACAAATGGTCATAATTCAAGGACTATTTGTACTTCAATTCCCACCAGACATATTCTCCTCTGAGATCCCTAAATTGGCTTCAGTGCATCTTGGTCCTTCATTTCATCATCTGCATTCCGAGTGTGCAGAAGGAAACCTGCTGCAGAACTGAAGGGATCTTCTTGGCGTATTATAGATTGACTATAAGAGGAAAAACACCACTTTTCCTGAGCAAATAAAAGAAGACAACTATTTGATGGATCCTAGTATAAGACATATTCCCTTGGATGTCCATCTCTGTGAAAAAGATGAGCCATAAGCACCCTTTTACCAGCAACACAAGATTAGATTAGATTCTTTCATCATGTTAACCAGCCTTAATAACTGTTTATTAAATAAGCTTCAAAGTTCTAACAACATAGAACATTCTAAGCTCTATAATATTGTTTGCAAACCACACTGGCCAGGTGTATGCGTTATACTTTAGCCAACCAGCTAAGACAAGCAGATGCTTAGATCTTGGCTCCCAAAGAAGCCGTATAAACTTAAGAAATGTATGAAGTCATGAAAGCTTCATTTCACTCTTTACTGCAGTTTTTAGAATTGTTGGCCTTTTTACTTTTAGCCTTGAGTGTTTTTGTAACAGGCTCTATTGATTTGGCTCCCTGCTATTGCAGTTTCAGTTCCCACATGCTGGCTTTTGACAACTTTGGCTTTTCTTTTAATTCTTTTAATCTTTCTGTGCTGCAACATTGACTCTTGCTGTTCATGCCATATTCTACATCTCCCTGGATCTTAGCCAAAGCTGGTACAGGAAAAGCAATAGCAGAGACTATACGTAGCTCAAGCAGTAAACAACAGCCTAATCAAGGAACTACCAAGGAGAAAGCAGCACCCCATCAACACTGGCAGCAGGCTGCTCTATATAAACAGAGACAAAACCTGCTCACTTCTATCACTGAAGATGTTACCTAGTCTGGTAACAAAACATTTGCAAGCAAACAACCAAGCTCAGAGAACACCAAGGATTCCAAAGAAAAAGCATCCGGGTGGGGTGGAAGATACAAAGACTCAGAATCACCTCTATAGGTTTGCCTTAACTGAGACTATTAAGAGTCCATCAGGTTTCATGCAATGTTTACTTCCTTTCTTGATTACCAGAATAAGCTGTATATGGAGCAACTCTTTGAAAGTATTTGGAAATTACAGTTCATGTAACATGTAGCAGGTAGGCAGCATTTTTATTTTATGTAAGAGGTTTCTGTTTTTATTTGGTTTTATGATTAGAATTACTGTGGATGTTTTAATAGTTATATCGTGTACCTTACAAGTCACTACATAGGATAAAAATTGAATAATGTAATAAATGTTGCAAAGGAACAGAAAACAAGCTGCTTGATTACAGTAAAGAGATGTTTGTGCTGCTATTGTGTACTAGATAGAAAATCAGGTTTTCTGATTTGTTTCAGCACCAATTCAGTATTCATCTTCCAGGCAAAAAGGCCTATTTCTTCAAAGATAAGTTTTATAACTACCGATGCTCCTGGTTTGAGTTCCTATTTTACTTATTCTAACAGGCTGTCTGCTGCATCATCCATACAGATGTGGTAATTATAATTATTCTGCATATATTTAAGATTTACTTTATCTCACTCTATGCTTTTCACATATGGCTTTCATGTGACCTCATTAGCCAACCTTGTCAATGTAACATCCAATTCTTGAATTGGAACATCTAAAAAGTGTGGCAAAAAACAAAGTGAAGATCTACCTACCTACTTACCTACCTACCTGTTCACTCATTTTTCCAATGTTTAAAGGCATTTTTTTTTAGATTTGGGGGACCCTTGCCTTCTTCCTGCCTTCCAGAGTTGGAGCTCCTGCCTTAAGTTTCTTCTGCCTGCAGAACTGACGCCAGTGCCAGCCTGGCAGCTTCCCCCGGGCTATGTTTATCTGAGTGATGTGCATAGTCTGGGTAGAGCCTCCCCCTTTTCTGAATCCTGGCACCAGGCCTGGCATTTTTCTTGACTTTGGTGCAGGCAGATCCTTCAGCATACTGAATGAGGTGTCAGTTAGGCTGGTAATTAGAAAATCTTGGGACTGCTGACACTTGGGTACATCTGTAGCAGTTCAACAACAACAATTTTTGTTTTTTGTTTTTGTATCAGGCTGTACGGTAGAAAGTTGAAATAGAAGTAATTGGCAAGTGAACAAGAAGGGGATCTTACAAATGTTGGCATTTTGGGCTTAAAGAATTGGCAAATGCTATTAAATTTTATTTTTGGGGGAATTTCCTTTTACCAAACTGAAGAAGTGGCAGCTTTTAAATTTGTGGTATGTGCTTTGTGTATTAATTTACAGATAGCAGCTGAATCAGCATCAAGAAATATACCTCCCTATTACCATTTATCACATCTTCCCCCAATCAGTTATCCCTTTAACTGCTGAATGAAACATTTTTGAAGCGGAAACCCTGAAATCTGCAGTATTTCCATAGAGGCCAGTTCTTCAAAAACCAGTCTGTTGGGTTTCCTCTGTATCCAATGGTTTAGTTTATCACTGATACCTTGACTTTGATGGATCTTATATTTTAACTAGCTCTCCATCAGGTGAGATAGCAAAAATACTAGAAATGATGGAGAATTTGTCTAAAAGAATTATGAAGAACAATAGGAAGAGGAATTGGGAAGAGGCCACATGTAATAAGATATCAGTGTCTGTGTGGGATGTCTGTGTAGGCTGGATATGAAGGAATTATGGATGACAAGCAGAGTGCTGAGACTGTGCTGAAAGTTTGCAGGACATGAGAATATACAGCATTAAGTTCTTTCCTTTGCCCCAGGAGTTGGACCAGAGCAGTCAATCTGGGCCCAAGTCTCTTCTCAGTGGAGGGCTGGGTTTTGATATACTGAGGTGTCACACAAGGTACTCTGCATAACACTCCCTCTCCAATTATACTCCACCTCCCTGAGTGTAAGCCAAGATCCTCTTAACTCTCCCATCTCCTTAGCAACTGCATTAAGCAAATCGATTCAGTTGGTGTCATTGGGATGGGATGGGAGGGCAGGGCTCCTACTGCACATCTCTCTTTCCCCCCTGTTCTTATAAGCTTGCTTTGGTCTGCCACACTCCCTCCCGCCCTTTTTCTTCTTTGTAAGCCAAGCAAACGTAGCCTCTGAGCTAATAAGGGCAAAGTCCCTCTTCTTCTTCTTCTCTTCTGTGACTTACTTAGGCAAAGTCCTTTGGGGAGGGCCAGAGGTGCTCTAGTACGGATTCCGATGCAGAGTGATCTTCCACAGCAGGACTGAAAGCAGAGGCACGGGATGCAAGAATCCACAACCTAACCTAGGGTGAGGGAGCAGATTAGAGTGGGCTGGGGGCTGGATGCCATGAGTCCCTCTCACCATGAACCTGGAAGGTCTGGAGATGATTGCTGTTTTGGTGGTTCTGGTCCTCTTCATTAAAGTGCTGGAGCAATTTGGGCTCTTTGAGCCTGTCTCCTTGGAAGGTAATGTACAGGGAAAGTGGGAGGGAGAGGGAAGTAATTCCATACTTCCAGGGCTGGTGTCAGAGTCTGCTTTAGTTAGTGAAGGTGATCCTTCTAATCACGATAATGAGAAGTTAAGTATTTTATTAAATAGTGAAGATACTTGCAGAGATTCTGCTGGAGGACTTTAAATGGATGCTAAAGGATATAGAAATGGGACACAGAGCAGAGCCCATATGGGGTGGCAGCAGCCAAAAGACATGCTGTTGGATGCATATTCAGGAAAGAAGCAGCAAATCCAGTCTTGGATGACAGAAATGGAAACCATGGTGTTTTCTTGCTATTTAATGTTCATTTGAGGATTGAAATGAGCTTTGAGTACACAAAATTTCAAAGCAAGCAGGTCCGTCAAACAGGCACCCATCGTGGCAAACTTTTATAGCTGTACTTGGTGTCGGTACCTTCTCTAACTCTGTGCCTGGTATGTGAATAGGCATGGCAAACTGGTCCTTTTTTTGCTTGTGTTCACTCACATGTGAAAAATATTTCTGATATGGTATGCATGTTTAAGAATAAATGGACTGTGTATGAATAGGTGAAGTATATGATGAAAATAATATGTTTTTTATATATACACATTTTCATTTTGTTAGAAAGAGCTGTAGATAGTTGAACTGACTGTCCAGAGGGGGTGTTCTATAATCTATAGTATGTATTAATTAGTAGGGGGCAAATCTGTATACATTGCTGAAAGTTTGCTGGGATCTCTTCCCTTTTTCATATTTGTCCTTTCTTTTTTCAGAAAGGTCAGGAAAGCATTTTTTTTAGTCAGAACTTCTAGGGAGATAATGAGAATCCTCACTGCAGAGTTACTGGAGAGTTAGAGACATTATAGAATGTATGTTCTCTACATAATTAAGTGGGTCTACTGGTTTTCTTTAATACAGGAATAAGATATGGGGTAAATAAATAGTTAGCATATAATTTTCTCTAATGATGATCTGATTTTATATTCCTGCCTATGGGTTAGACAATCGCTTATTATGAACACGATTTTAAATCCTTTAAATAAAATTAAAGAAGCAATTCACTACCCCAAAAATGGGTAAATGAGAAAGCTCTAGGCCAGTTTATATTTTGCTTGCCCATTAATACCTGTACGAATTTAAATTCTATGTCACTTTTTCTACTAGTGGCATCAATTTCTTTTGAAATGTTACTTCAGGGAAGTGTGTTTCCAGGTTCTGGGAGTTTCTGAAGGACTTTCTTAAGTAAGGGAATCCTGGATTTCCACTCAACCTCTTCAGATTTGACTGGATATTCAATTTCAATGTATCTGAAGGTGTCCTGATTCTCACCATTAGTTTAGAGAAACAGCCTCTTTATGTAAGATAAGTTTCATGTAAGCAGATTGTTTTACTGGGACAATAAAATCTCTTTGTCTGTATTTTCTCCCCTTAGCACTGGGTTTTGTGCTATTGTATTTTATCTTTATGCACATCTTGGTCATAATTTCTTTCAGAATCTTATTGGTTATTTTGAGATTGGAATTTTCCAGAGATTTCTCTGCTGGAAAAGAACTTCCAGTGACCTTCCAGGTGATTTAACTAGCGGAAACAGTATAATTAAGGTGTGGACTAATCCAAAGTTTAGCCTCAGGGTTTCTTAGATAAATGTTATACCAAAATGAATGCAGTTGTTCATTATGTACACATGGCAGCATAACCCAACCTGATGTCCTTAGAGGAGTTGCACTGTACTCCCTATCATCCCCAACCAGCATGCTCATAGATATTCTTTTTTAGAATGATGAGAATTATGGTACAGTTTTTCAGAACAGATCAACTGATGAGAGAATTTGAATTTTGTATAAAGCATGAACACACCGATTTGGATATAGAAGTGCATTTCTAGATGGGATACAAATCACTCTATAGAGCTCCATTCTCTTTTCTCTTGCATCTTTATAAACACTCTATAGATGATGCACTTTCCTCTGTGCTTCATCTTAGCTTGGCGGACATGGAGGAGAAGGATACTCGTGCAAATGCTGTTTCTTGATTTTAATTTGGCATTCAACACAATAATTCCTCAGCATTTGGTGAACAAACTGGGCCTATTAGGTTTTAATACTCCTTTATGTAACTGGATACTTGATTTCCTTATTGATAGGCCCCAGGTTGTGCAAGTTGGAAGAAAAGTTTCCAACTCCATCTCCTTGAGTACAGGTTCCCCACAGGGCTGTGTCTTGAGTCCATTACTGTTCACCTTGATGACCCATGACTGCTGTGCCCAATCTGCTACAAATCATATTGTGAAGTATGTAGATGACACGGCAGTGGTGAGTCTTATCCAGGATGACAGTAAAGATTCTTATAGGAAAGGGGGGAAGGCTCTGGTGGACTGGTGCAATAGACGTAACCTGGTTCTGAATATTAATAAAACAAAGGAGATCATTGTAGATTTTAAAAAGAGCCGGCATAGCCATACTTCTCTCTATATCAAGCCGGCAGCTGTGGAGGTGGTCAACAGTATCAATTATCTGGGGGTGCAGATAACTAACAATCTGACTTGGTCTCTCCACACATCATCCTTAGTGAAGCGTGCAAACCAGCATCTTCATTTCCTGCATTGGATGAGGAGAGCACATCTTTCTCCTTCTGTCCTGGCCACTTTTTACAGAGGCATGATTGAGAGCATCTTAACAAACTGCATCACTGCTTGGTTTGGTGGTAGCAGTGCCTCAGATAGAAGGTCCATACAGAGAGAGTGGTAAGGACAGCTGAGAAGATTATAGGAAGCCCACTTCCCGTTCTTCGGGGCACTGCTTATAAGCACTATGTGCTTAGAGCTTGAAGCATTGTTAGAGACCCCACACACCAACTTCACGGTCTGTTTCTGTTGCTCCCCCCTGGGAGGAGGTTTCAAAGTATTTCTAGCAGGACTACCAGATTCTATAACAGCTCTGTTCCCTATACTATCTGCCTGGTAAATCTGCAAGATTTGTTTTTCTCTCCATGTATATGTATACATCTGAACTAGACTGTGTTGTTTCTCTGGGTCGTGTGTGTGTGTGTGTGTGTGTGTGTGTGTATGCATATTTTTGCCATGTTTATGCAGTGTATGCAGAGAGTCACCCTTTGAGAGCTGTATGCAACGAAATCTCATTTTAATGTGTGCTGATTAATGTACATTTAAAGTGACAATAAAGTTATTATTCTATTCTATTCTATTCTATTCTATTCTATTCTATTCTATTCTATTCTATTCTATTCTATTCTATTCTACTTTACCATTATATGAGTTGGTTCATATGCCTCTGCAGTTACAGATATCCATGGCTGCAGATCAGTCTTTCTAACTTGATTTTATGAAGTTATGTTGGACTTCATCATACTGAGTTACCAATAACTTAATTTCTGGCTGTAGATTATGGTGGCCAGGAGTGAAAAGAATGGCAATTTGACACATTTAGAATTGTCAGGTTGAAATACAGTTAGGAAGAGTCTGCAAAGCAAAAAGTCAAAACTATTTGCTGCTCCTGAAGTTTATTAGTGACAAGTTTAGGAACAACATTCATAGCTCCTTGAATCTGTCCCTTCCCTCCCTGCCAGTTTTCTAAAAAGAAATTCCAGAAGTTTCCTTCTTGAATCAGACTATAATTAAGTGGATCTGCACTTCCTGCTAACCTCAGCAAAAGGACAGTGCCTTCATTTAGAGAAGAGGGGACAAGCAGTTGCAAATTTCAGAAGGGAAGCCCTGGACATTCCAAAGGAGATTAATTTATTGACACCTGATTCTTTAAGCTCTTTGCAATAGGGTTTTAAAGCTAATTAGATAACTCATGACCAGCTGGATCATCCTTTTAGGGATATTTCCTAAACAGAGAAAAGATTGACCATATACAAATAAAAAAGCAGTGGGAACAGGAGCAATTTCCGAATCAGGTGAAATTGAGTTTTCCAAGTAATCAGAAGAACTGTTTAATGCAGTGTTTCTCAGTCTCAACAATTTTTAAATGTGTGTACTTCAACACACATCTTAAAGTTCTGAAGTTGAAAAACATTGGTCTAGTATGTGTGTTTGTGTGTGTATATGTTTTCCACCAATACTCAAAAGACACATCCACTGAAAGAAGAACAATTTGTACTTGAATTCTTGGCAGGCGTACATCAACTGGCCCTTGAATTAAACAGTGGATTGGCTAGAACCTTTGGTTATTGTAGCTGATGTGGAGGAGGGGCTAAAACGAGGAAAAAAGACTACCCTCTGAAGGACGCAACTTGGAAAAGCCCATGGTGAATTTGTTAAATCTATCTTCCCCTACATTCTTCTTTAGTGGCAGTATTTTTGAATCTGCAATGCTGCATAATTTGGGCAGAGTGCATATCTAGAATAGTAGTTTGCAGTAGATTATTACAAGTTTCTGACTTCAACCACACCTAATTAGGCTGTTTTAACAATAAAATATTGGGGAACAATGCATCTCTTATTACCTTATTGACAGTACAAGTATTGTTCTCTGAGAATAGGTTACAGGGAAGTTCTAGTGAGTATCTTCAATCTGCTATGACTCTTTTGAATGATTGGCTCTGTCTTAGAGATTAATAAAAGGCATTGGGTAACCAATTTGTTAGATATGCCTCATAAAATCTTTTAAGAGTAGTAGGTGGACTCTGAAAATCTTCTAATTGTCTGTAGCAAATACAAGAACTAGCCTCTCCATTTTCTAAATATGGCAGAACAAGACTTGAAGACAGAATAAGAAGTATGCCATAAGGACTTGTTTAACACATTATGGTAAGGTCTAATCTAAAAACTTACAAGTGGAATATAAAGGCAATGCCCATTTATTATTTTCTCTTCCCATAACTGATGATCAAAGGTATATATTGTTCTTGAATAGAAGGGTTCCACATTTCCATGGAATCATATAAAGCTGATCTTCAAGGAAAAAGAAATAAAATGCACAGATAGGTACAGATGTTACAAGGTTAGGCAACAGTAGATGTAAAACGGAT